TGGGACAGGGAGTTATAGGGGGCTGTGGGAATCTGTGGGGCCATGGGGGTCTACGAGATGCATGGAGTTATGGGGAGCTCTGGGCTCTGTGGGGCTGTGGGGATCTCTAGGTGTCTATGGAACAGAGGGGGGCTATGGGGGGCCTGTGGGGTGTCTATGGGGCAGGGAGGGTCTATGAGATTGTCTATGGGGTCTATGGGACCCTGGGGTGTCAAAGATTATTCCATGAGGTCTATGGGGGATCTATGGGGCAGTGTGGGGCTGTGGGGTGCCTATAGGGGGTCTATGGGGTGTCTGCAGGGCAGTGTGTTTTATGGGGGTAATGGGGTGGCTATGGGGTGGCTATGGGGTGTCTACAGGGTGTCAGGGTCTATGGGGTGTCTACTGGGGCTCTATAGGGTCTATGGGCAGAGCTCTGGGCTCTGTGGGGCTGTGGGGATCTCTGAGGTGTTTATGAGTCAGTGGGATCTATAGGGACAGTGAGGGTCTATGGGGCGTCTGTGGGGTAGAGGGTTCTGTGGGAGTTATGGGGTGTCTATGGGGCAGTGGGGGTTCTGAGATATCTATGAAGTGTCTATGGGGTTTCTATGGGGCAGTGGGGGGCTATCGGTTCTGTTGGGTGTCTATGGGGCAGGGGTCTATGAGATTGTCTATGGGGTCTATGGGACCCTGGGGTGTCAAAGATGATTCCATGGGGTCTATGGGGGATCAATGGAGCAGTGTGGGGCTGTGGGCTGCTTGTAGGGTGACTATGGGGCATCTGCAGGGCAGTGTGTTTTATGGGGGCTATGGGTTGTCTATGGGGTTGTCTATGGGGTGTCAATAGGGTGTCTGGGTCTGTGGGGTGTCTATGGGGCAGGGGGTGTCCATGAGATATCTGTGGGGCAGTGGAGGGCTATGGGGTTTCCATGGGGGATCTATGGGGCAGTGGGAGGTGGCACCGTTCCCCCCCTCCCCAACAGATGCAGCGCTGTCGCAGGAGATCCAGCGCCTGAGGGAAACCCAGCGACTGCTGGAGAACAACGGTGGGGACATGGGGGGGGGGGGGGGGGGGGGGGGGGGATGTGGGGCGGTGGCGCCATGGGGACACGGCTGACAGCGGTGCTGCGCCCCACAGGCTCAGCGCTGGCGGCGGCACTGGCGATGCTGGAGGGGAACCAAACGCAGCTGAAGAAGCACGGTGGGTGTCACCGTCACCCCCAACGTCATGGCTGTGTCCCCATCTCCCCCCATCCCTGTGTCCCCCATGTCCCCTCTGTCCCCAAATGTCCCCAAATGTCCCTTCCAGGTACGGAGACGGCGGCGCTGCTGGAGCTCCTCTCTGCCAACCAGAGCGCGACGCGGCTCGAGGGTGGGACACGGGGATGTGGGGACATGGGGGGACATGGGGACATGGGGGGACATGGGGGGACATGGGGATGTGGGGACAGAGGGATGGGGGGACACGGGGACATGGGGCTATGGGGGTGTGGGGATGTGGGGAAGGGGGGATATGGGGATGTGGGGACATGGGGGGACATGGGGGGACATGGGGATGTGGGGCTATGGGGGTGTGGGGATGTGGGGATGTGAGGAAGGGGGGATATGGGGGGACATGGGTGGACATAGGGACACGGGGACCTGGGGACATGGGGATTTGACCCCTTAAGGCTCCCGTAACCCCATAACAACCCCATTAAGGGGATTTGGGGACACATGGGGAGATGGGGATTTGGGGACAGAGAGACGGGGGGATGTGGGGACATGGAGGGGCATGAGGATGTGGAGACATGGGGATGTGGGGAAGGGGGGATGTGGGGGTGTGGGAGCACGGGGACACAGGGGGACATGGGGAGATGGGGGCGTGGGGAGGCGGGGATGTGGGGGCAGTGGGGACACGGGGCCGTTGGGCAGGCGGTTCTGTCCCCACAGTTTCGGGGACGATGGTGTCGGTGTGGAGGGAGCGCAGCACCACACGCAGCGCTCTGCACCAGCTGCTGCATGCCCGGGGGGTGACACTGGGGTTGGTCGGTGACAATGGGGGTGAAGTCCCACTGGGGGGGACATCGGGGTCTGTGGGGACACAGGGACCCCATGGGGGGTGACATTGGGGTCAGTGGGTAGGTGATGTCCCATGGGGGGTGACATTGGTGTGTGTGGGTGGATGGGGACACTGGGGTCAGTGGGGACACAGGGACCCCAGGGGGGGTGACACTGGGGTTGCTGGGTGGGTGATGTCCCATGGGGGGTGACATTGGTGTGTGTGGGAGGATGGGGACATTGGGGTCTGTGGGGTGGTGACATTGGGGTCAGTGGGTGAAGTCTCAATGGGGGTGACATTGGGGTCTGTGGGGACACAGGGACCCCATGGGGGGTGACATTGGGGTTGCTGGGTGGGTGGGTGATGTCACCATGACACTGGTGGATGCGGACTTTGGGGTCTGTGGGGCCATAGGATCCCCGTGGGTGGTGATATTGGGGTCGGGGGGGGTGAAATCCCACTGGGGGTGACATGGGGGTCCCCGTGGAGGGCTGACATGGGGGTCGGCGGGTGCCAACGTCCCCATGGTGCCCCCCAGGCTCCTCGTGCCAGGTTTGCCCCCCCGGGTGGCGGCTGCACGGGGGCAGCTGTTATATGGTGGGGAGCGGTGCTGTGGGGTGGGCGCAGGCGCAGGGCCGCTGCCGGGACAGTGGGGCACAGCTGGTGGTCATCGGTGATGCGCAGGAGCAGGTGGGTGCTGTGGGGTGTGGGAGGCACTGAGGGGCCTTGCGGTCTGCTATGGGGTGATGTGGGGCGGTGTGCGGCGTTATGGGGCACCGTGAGGTGCTATGGTGTGCTATGGTGACATGGGGCGGTGTAGGGGTGTGGCTGTGGGGTGCTATGGGGGGCTATGGGGTGATATAGGGTTCATGGGGCACTTATGGAGTCCCTGTGGGGCGCTATGGGGCACTATGGGGCACCGTGAGGTGCTATGGTGTGCTATGGTGACTTGGGGTGGTGTGAGGCACTGAAGGACTTTATAGGGGTGTGGATGTGGGGTGCTATGGGGTGATATAGGGTTCCATGGGGCACTTACGGAGTCTCTATGGGGCACTGAGTGTGCCATTGGTTTCTATGGGGCACTATGGGGCACTATGGGTGCCGCTGGACGCTATAGGGCGGCACTGTGGGTCCCACAACCCCCTTCCCCACCCAGGAGTTCCTGACTTCGTTGGCCCCCCCCTACGAGACGTGGATCGGACTCCATGACCGCAGCACAGAGGGCTCCTTCCAATGGGTGGATGGCAGCGCCCTCAGCTTCCGGTGGGAGGGGTCACAGGGTCACGGGGTCACGGGGTCACGGGGTTATGGGGGGGGTCACCGGGGGTCACGGGGGGTTGAGGGTTATTGGTTGTTGGGGGGGGGGGGGGGGTCATAGGGGGTTTGGAGTCGGGGTCTGTGGGGTCATGGGATGCTATGGGGTGTTAAAGGGGTCTATGGACTATGGAGCATCTATGGGGTCTAAGGGGCTATGGGGCCGTGGGGTGGCTATGGGGTTTTCATGGGCTCTATGGGGAGTCCATGGGTTATCTATGGGGTGTCTATGGGTCTATGGGGTGGCTACGTGGCGTCCATAGAATCTATGAGTTGGCTATGGGGCTATGGGGTCTACGAGATGGCAGTGAAGTTATGGGGTGGCAATGGGGTGCTTATGGATCTATGGGGTGGTTATGGGGCTTCCACGGGATCTATGAGTTGGCTATAGGGCTATAGGGTCCAGGGGATGGCTATGGGGTCTCCATGCAGGCTATGGGATGGCTATGGGGTTTCCATGGGATCTACGAGTTGGCTATGAGGCTATGGGGTCCAGGGGATGGCTCTGGGGTGGCTCTGGGGTGGCTATGAGGTTTCCATGGGGGATCTATGAGTTGGCTATGGGGCTATGGGGTCTATGGGATGGCTA